AAAAGATTTTTAAAAAAAAAATTTCAATAAATAAGAAAATTTAAGGAAATTTTTTTTTCAAACACAAAAAATAAGATTGTTTTTATCAAAATCAATGGATAACACGTAATTAATTGGTACTAATTTAAACGAGCACTATAAGGGTGCTAATCCTTCCCCACGCTTAACTGACTTCCAAACATAGATTGGTTCGTAGACCCTAAAATTATCCTTTTGATAAATTTTTATTAATTTTAAGATTTTATTAAAAGGATATGTTTTAATAAGTAGCTAATCGCACCTAGCCAAAAATGATTGGTGGTGACTCCATTTTTTTTTTCATTTTTTTCTTTTCATTTCAAAATTCATTGGGTTGACACAAAACCGTTATGACAACTATCATAAGTATAAATATCAATGCATCATTTAGAATATATTATATAATCTTTTATGTGAGTGTTTGATGCATAAGATTATGATCCGATAGGATAAGACAATACTATAAATAGGATTGGTTAAACACTAATGTCTTATTTTGTGCTTAATGTGTGCAACAATTAGAATATGATAAGTTTATTTATTGGTCAAAATTATCTTTTCTCAAAGCTTATAAAATTTAAAATATTAATATAATTTTTAAGTGTATAATAGGACACTTATGTTTAATTCAATGGATTAGAAAAAATCCTCTTTATTTTGGCAGGATTAAATCATCTTATATCAAAAAGATAATTAATCTTTCTTACAATTCTATCCCCTTTTTTTTAGATACAAACCAAACATGGTATAAAATAATTATTATTCTATCTTATCCATCATTGTATGCATCAAACATGATTTATAATTATATATGGGTAGCAACTATCATGTAATTTAAAATGAAGTATAAAAGCAAGTCATTGATTTATGTATATACATTATGTTTATGTTATAATTATATTATTAATTTTTAATTATGTAATTTAGAATAAATTATATAATGAGTTACAATTATACTAAAATTCAAAGTAATAAGCTATTAAATAATGAACTACAATTATACTAAAATGATTATTTATATTATAATTATATTATTTTAAAAAATAATTGCATATTAAATGTGTATCATAAATAAATATTAAAATCGATTTTTATATGATTATATGAAATATGTAATTGTGTATTATAATTAAAAATTTAAAATAGTCATTATATATATTAAATTACAATAAATATAAAAAATTATTAAACTTATCAACATGACAAACATGTTTTGCGTGTCTTATACATTTACTTGTATTACAAAGTTTAATTAAAGGTATTTTCTATATAGACTTACACTTGTCAAAATTTGTGTTGACACAGTTAAACATAAAACACATTTTTTAAACCCATACATTTTTTCTAAGGTCATTTTGATGTCATGTTATTCTATTGTGCTTAAATTTGTCAAGTTTAAGAAAATCACTTATTTTTCATTTATATAAAAATTTAATTTAATTTAAAGTATATAAACTGCAATATTTATATTTATTTTTAAGATTTTTTTTAATTTTTCATCATTTAATAAAGTTATAATAAAATCTAAATCGAACTTAATCAAATAATCTATTTAAGTTTAGTTTAATTGGATTTTAAAAATTAATAAATTGAACTCGAAATAACCTAAACCTAAATAACCTTGATGTCAAACTTGAAATACCCAAATTAAAATGATCTTAACCCAAATTGACACAAACAAGAAATGACCTAAACTCGAAATAGCCCGAATCCAAAATAACTAGAACACAAAACAACTTGAAACTAAAATGAACCATCTCAAGATTGACTCTATTTTTTAAAACTCAAAATAATCTGAACTGAATTAACCTAACCTAAATCCAATTTGATTCGCCCAATTGATAGGTCTATAATAATACAATATAAAATATTGAGGCATTAAAATGTACAATACTAAGAATGAGAATGACTTACATGGCAACTTTTGGATCTTTTATCCATGTTATTAATTTTATAAAGAATGGAGAGCCATGGAAGTGTTTACATCTCTTCCACTCTTTTTTGTTTTGTTTTTTATGTTTTAGATTTTTTATTTAATTGTTTTTAATTTTTTTATTTTTTACTAAATTTTTATTAGATAATTTTTCTTTTTTTTTATTTTCTTTGTTCTTTAAGTTTTTTAGGTTTCCTTTTTTTTTTTTTAAATTTAATCTATGTCCTTAAAATGTAAGGTGGGTTTAGAGTGTTCTGTCCCATCTGGGTATAAATAAAATATATATTTTATTATTTATTTATCTTTATCTTTATATAGGTATTATATTAATAAAATTATTAATACTTTATTTTACTAAAATTATATTTATACACAATTAAGATGTAATTTAGGTTAAAAAAATTATTTTCAAGAGCATTAAACTAAATTAAAATTATCGAATTAATTTTTGATCAATTTGAGTTAGATACGAATTATACATATATGTGACAGATCGGGATCAAATATTAATGAATAATAACTTTATGTAGGGGTTGCAATTGAAGTTGAATTGAATTGTTAAAAAATAGAGTTAGCATTAGCTATTTTCTATTAATTTGACTTATTTTTTCATTTTTTGGTTAGGTCAATATAAACGATTTTTTAATTAGAATCGGATTAAGGTAGGACAAGTTTTTCTTCTTAAAAATTGAGAATTAGGTCGAAAGCAACTTTAGGATACTTTATCTCGCATAGTCCCGTGTATATATAAGAATATGTATTTTATTTTTTATTTTATTTTATTTATATATATTATATTAATAAATTTATTATTTAACACATTTATGTAATAAAAGGTTATATTTATATATAATTAAGATATAATTTATATTAAAAATAATATTTTTATGAATATTATATTATCAAATTGATTTTTGATCATATTATTTCGGATGTGACTTATACATATATGTGCTTGATCAAGGTCAAATATAAAAAAATAATAATATGATATTGGGTCAAAGTGGGGATGCATATAAATCCGCTCTTTTTTTTTTTTCTTTTTTTTCCTTTTAGCTTGGACCTTCTTTTTTTTTTTGTTTTAGCCTTTTTATTTTGTTTTTTAATTATTTATTTTATTATTTTTAACTAGATAAATTTGAAAGAATGAATTTTTTATTTGATTTGTTATATAAGTTATGATAATTAAATACTTATAATATTCACAAAATAGTAGTTAAATTTTTACTAATAATTGTTTTTATTAAAAATTACAAACAAAATTATACTTATTGATTTATTAAATTTAATATTATTAATTACCAAAAAAAAAGTTTGGATCCCCAAAAAAGCACAGACATGTTACTAGTGTACATACATTCTATAAAGGCATAAGAGCAGATAAACAATTCAATCAAAATTCCTTTCTTAATTTTTATAGATATGCATATCGATCTCGTATAAACAAAGCATCAGATCCTTGCACATAGGCTTATCCACACCGAAAATTCCATTTTAACAAAGAAACATTTTAGGCATGCATGTTCCAGAACAAAAAATTTTTTATTTAAAATTATCAAAAATTAAATTCTAATCATTAAAATTAAAAATTTAACATTTTTATCGTATCACACTTTTAGCCAAACATGGCGAATAGAGCATCCAGTTAGGCTTTGTGGACAGCATGGGTTTGACCTTTTTGCCTCGTCTCATCCTGGCCCACCAAAAATTGACAATAGAGGAAAATTGGTTTTTTTTTTTTATAGCTTTTATAGATATTTTCCTAAAATTATTTAATAATCAATATAAAAAATTTATAATTACATATAATTTTTTGAAAAAGAATTGCATCCCTCAATGAAAAGTGTATTTTTTATATAATATTATCATAATTTAAAATTTCACCACTAAACTATTAACGGGAGCACATGATTTTTGTTATATATAACTAGTCTTGACGTGGATTCACATGCGGATACCATTCCAACCCTCAACTGATTCGCCAGTATTTCCTGTCTCATCCACACGAGAGAATGATGAGTGAGATGGTTCCATTATAATTATATTTCCCGCATAAAATATCAAATCAAATGCACTAGTTTGGCCGCAATTCTTTCTTTGATTTCTTAAAATATTCTCTTTTGCTTTTGACTTTTTTTACTTAGACTGCATTTAAATGCAATTAATAAATTTTTCATGCAATTTGATCATTTCTTGAATTCAGTCGCACCAACATTGATATTTTTTTCCCAAAACATCAAAGTTGGTGTTTGAATAACACACCAATGTGGCACGGTAGAGTCATTTTCACCATGCAGTAGCCAAGGTTAGTAACTACACCTTTAAAGGTCCAATGAAATATGTCACTCTCCACCGTAACCGCTTTTTTCATTTTGCCCTTATTTTTTTTATTCTTTTGTTTAACAATTTTTGAATATTTCTTTATTTTAAATAATAAATAAATTTATATAATTATGTAAGAAACAAATAAATAAGTAAATAATAAAATTTTTTTATAAATAAATAAATAAATATATCTATACATATTATTAATTACATAAAATAATTTTATATATTATTTATTACATATATAAATAAACAGTTACAACATTATAAATACATAAATGCAAAAAATATATATATGTAATTATATAAATAAATACATAAATTAATCAATCAATAATTCAATAATTATCATTAAATATATAATTATTTTTAATATAAAAATATGCGTAAATGCTTTGAATGAATAAAAATTTTATTATATATAAACTTTAAACTAATGTCTTAACCATTTTCTCTTATCATAACACTTTATCTCTCTAACATTGTTAGTTTTTTATTCAAATACATGTCATATCCTTAATTTTAATCTCATTGTTATAATTTTTAATTTCATCATTATAGTAACTAATTTTATAATTATTAATTTTTCAATCTGGTTGTAATTAATCTCATTAGACGATGAATAAGTCGTCTCAATCACAGTTCCACCCCAAGGCACCAACTATCTCTACATAAACCGTCCTAGCAGCATCTCTTTTTGCCCTTGAACCAATTCTAACGCCCCTCTCCTTTCCCCATTTCTTTTCGCAAAGGTGGTGTTTCTAACTCCAGCACAAAAGCACAAACATGTTTCATGTTATCAATTTCTTGTCTTCCTTTATTAGTTTTAGGCCTTCATGAGTTTTCTTTTCTGTTTTCTTTCAATATTTCATTGCTCAATTTCCGCCCCTTTTTGTTTCTATAAAATCCCAGCTTCCAGACAACTGAGAAACTTTAACACCCAATATTTTCAAAGATCTTCATCCTTTTAACCTTGTGCAAAAATCAATTTGAATCAACTTTTTAAGCTGTTTGTTTCTTGTTTGCAGGGTAAAAAGTTTTAAAATGGCTGCAAACAAGAAACTGCAGAAGACCTACTTTGATGTGTTGGGTCTGTGCTGCTCCTCTGAGGTTACTCTGGTCGAAAACATTTTGAAATCTCTCGAAGGCGTCACAGAAGTATCTGTAATTGTTCCTACCAGAACTGTTATTGTTCTGCATGACAATCTACTTGTTTCTCAGCTTCAAATTGGTAACCCCACCAACCCTCCAATATTCATCTTCCTGAATTATTCTTTCATTTTTTTAGTTTATATATTTATTATTAATTTATTGTTTTTAAACAACTTAAGTACTTAACTACTTGAGTTGATAACACAAGTATATCTGATATAGAAAATACAATTTGATCTTTTTTTTTTTTAAAATTGGTAAGTTGGTGTGAGAACCATACTTATGTTTTAAGATAAGAGATCTAAAAATTAGATCTGATAATTATTTATTTATATCGTGTGTGTGTTTGATGTCAAATTTATATGTGTAAAATATAAAAATTATAAATTGATAATTCGTATCAATACTTCAAATATGAAATACCTTTTTTTATTTATGTTAAATTTATATATCATTTTTATCAATTTTATATCATATGTTTATTATATACTATCAATCAACTATGCAATGATATTTCCTTAAAGAGTAAAACAACAAGTAGTCAATTTTTAAGAGTAAATTACTTTTAGTAATTAATTAAATTTTTTGAAAATAATAATTAATTATATTTAAATAAACTCATTAATTTTTGTTTTAAAAAAATATGATTATTTTCAATTTTACTTATTAATAAAATATAATCGTATATTTATTAAACATGATAAAATAACACATGTATTATTACTACATCAAAAATTAACTCTTGAAATTAATCCATAAAGAAATAAGTATGATAGAAATTGTCTGTTAGTGACGTAAATCATAAAATGATTTGCAAAATGGTAGGCATTGGAGCAAATAATTGTTTTTTTTTTTTTTAAATTTTAAAAACAAACGAATGCTTGAACAAGAGTAAAGCAAAAATTTGGCCCAAAGGTGGATCAAGGTGACGTATAAAAGTTAAATGGTGGAGCAGTAGTTTGCTTCTAACTAATTATTACTTATAAAAATTGCCTCTTTGCCACAACAATAACAATCATTCCCCATATTATTGCTGCTGGAAAATGTTAAATATTTTGGAAAAAAAACTATAACGGAAAAAAAATTATTAAAAGAATCAACTCTTGCAAATACTTATAAAAAAGTTTGATATTTAATTCCATTAGTCATTAATTGAGAAGGGTATTTCAATTTATATAAATATTTTTGATAATTTTTTATAAAGAAAGAAGTTATAGTTTAAAATTAAAAAAAAAATTATAAAGATTAAAATTTAAACTCAAATTTATTGATTATCATATTTTAAAAATAATCAAATAAATTAATTTAATTTAAACTTGAGTTTTTTTTTACAAATTTTTCTTATTAATAAATGTGAATAATATATATAGTATGTTAATGAACACCTTTTTATAAAATGAGAAGAGTGTGTGTTTTCATGATACAATAATAATAATAATAATAATTTGTTGAGTGGCCCATTAAACAATTGTTGACAGAGGACCATCAACTGTTTTATGTTTTTGGAATTTGTCCCCAAAATTTTATTTATTTTATATTTTTTTATACAGTTAAGGCTTTAAATCAAGCAAGACTGGAAGCAAATGTTAGAGCACATGGGGAGATTAAGTACCCGAAAAAATGGCCAAGCCCTTTTGCAGTTGCTTGTGGGTTGCTGCTTTTGTTATCATTTTTGAAGTATGTCTACCATCCTTTGCAATGGCTAGCTGTCGGAGCTGTGGTTATTGGCATCTGCCCCGTTCTTTTGAAGGGCTATGCTGCCATTACCAATTTCAGGCTCGATATCAACGTTCTTATGCTTATTGCAGGTAATTTCATTTCATACTTTTATTCTTTGATACATTAAATCGGAATTTTTTTTTCCTTTATTCTAATCCCCATGTCTATTTTTTATCAATCTTACCAAAAAAAAAAATAAAAATATGTGGGACAATGCTTTAATGAAGCTTATTATTTTCTTCTTAAAACTAGACTTGCTTGGTTTTATGTGAATTTAGTGAAATATAAATAATAAATTCTTAATTTCCAAAATCAAAACACTGTGATTTTGTGCCTTTGTTTCTTTATTGTTGTCTTTTCCTAATTTTGCTTTTTGTTTGGGTGGATTTTCTTTTTTTCTCCTTTTTACTCTCATACCTTAGTGACTTCACAGTCACTTTCTTAATGGGGAGTGCAACCCATTAAGAAATTTACTAGATATTTCATTGGTTGAAGGGTTGTAATTAGGCAAGTCCGGAAGTATTTGAATCCAATAATTTCGGATCAAATCATTTTAAATAAAAAAAAAATTTGGACTAATTAAAATTCAGATAATCTTGAATTTCATTAATTCGACTTTCACATTTGAATCATTCAAATTTAGGTTATTAAGGTTTAATTATTTTGAATTTAAATTATTTTATTTAAAATTAAATCAATTAAACTAATTCAAGTTAATTCAAATTTGAATTCTTTTGAATTTGAATTGAATAGATTTCGTATTCAGTTAAATTAGGGTTCCAATTTTTTGAAGTTCCGATGAATTTTATCAACTTTTATGTTCACATATTTGATTATGTTGGGCCTCATAAATCCTATCCTTTTCAGTCTTGTTGAGGTCTTTAATTTGCCAATCAAGATATGCAGAAAAAGATTTATATCTACTAGCATACACAAACAAAAGACAAATAATAAATGTTTAAACCTACTTTTTTTAGAAAAGAACAGTTTTTCTGAGCCATCATATATAGGATGTGCATCTATAATTCTGCATATCATGAAAAACCAGATCTAGTTGGACCAGGTTTTGCATCACCGAAAATACATGCATATATATGTCGAAATTGAATTTTTTGGGATGGTGGTGATGGTTGCTTGCCTCTACATGCGGTTCGGTTGACATGTGGCTTAGGTTTTATTATTTTTTTTCGGTACGATATGTGGCTTAGGCTTTTATCAATTGTTTTTCATGCTGTTATAAGACGGATCTTGGGTCATGTTTGTTGATGAGGTTAGACTTTTTTTTTTTCTTTGGAATATAGGATGAGCATAGTCATGAGGGAAGGGGAGGAAATCTTAGCTCGAATGCAAGACCGTTGTGTTTTCTTAAGACTTTTTTAGTTATTAGATTAAAGAGACGAGGACGGGATTAGACCTTTTTAACATTGCAATTGGAACTGTTTTAATAGTAGTTGTGAATAAGTTCACAAAAAGCAATGTCCATCAAGATTAAGCTGCACTCAGCGATTCTCCTATTGGGAGTCATTCGCTAAGTATCGGATGGGTCTATATAGATTAAAGGTGTAAATAAATTAAATACGAGTGAATTTTATTATATTTTATGATATATTCTTTTAATCAATGAATCTTGAAATATTGTTCATAATCGTTTATTAAGTTTAATATACAAATATAAACAAATAGAAATTGATCTATTCATGAACTATTCTTTGAATGTTCTATTAGTTTATAATTTTAAATATAAATGAATCGAATATAAACGAATTTTATTATATTAATGATCTATTTATTTTGAAATATTGTTTGTAATCGTTTGTTAAATTTTATAAACGAACAGAAATCAAACATATTTACAAATTATTTTTCAAATGATCTATTCATTTACATATAAACCCGGAATTAACTTCAGCCAAATGAAAGAGGACTTTTGCTAGTTACCTTGGACTAAAGGACTAGTCTGTGAAGGTCTACTAGATGGTCAGGCTTTGGTAGCGTCCATTTGTAGCTTTCTATGGACAATAAGAAACCTCAATAAAAATACAGTTTTAGTCCCTTAAGATTTCCCGTTAGAAGTTGATTTTTGATTCGCAACCAACTTTCAGTTTTCTTTTGCCACTTTCTCCTTTGTCGTTTCATAAAATTGTTATCTTACTTTGATAGATGTTACAATATGCGACCTAAATTTACTATGCCAATTTGGATGCCTTTAATGGACTTTGGTTGAGAAGTTCAACTTTACAACTCACTAAGGTTGCTTTGTTTCCGTCTAGTCTATTTAAGCTATCTGATTTATCCAATCTACCAACAACCCAAATGCCAATCCCTTAACTAGAGGTGGCAAACGAGGTGAAGGGGATTGGGTGGATTTGAATAGGATCATTGGGGTTTGTATTTTGGATAGGAAAAACTTAGATGAAATTTTGTAGATGAAATTGTAAAATTTTTTATTAAAAATGATTAAATAAAAATTATAATAAAAAATTAAAATAGCATATTGAAAGATTTTGTTACATAAATCAAGTGTGTAAATTTTGAAAAAAAATTTAATAAAAATTTTGTTATATTTTTTATATAGATATTTTTATTAAAAATTTTGATAAAATTTTTACTGTTGAATAAGTACTTATTAAATTTGACTTATAAACGATATTTTTAATAATTCTTTTTATAAATTATTGATCTTAATATTGAACTCTATCAATATATTGGTTTAAAATTTTTTATTAAAATTTTTATTAAATCATTTTTAAGAAGAAACTTCACAAATTTCACTTAAAGAATTTTATTAAGTTTTACCCTTTGGATTATCTGTTTAAGTCATTTTGAATTTCAATCATATTGAATTTAGGTTATTTTAAGTTCAGACATTCGAATTTAAATTAAAATAAATTTGGTAAATAAAATTTGCATTTTACTAATAAGTTCAGACGATTACAAGTTTTAGTTAGGGAAGTTTCAAGTTTGGATCAATGTAATAGAATGATGCTATTCAATTAACCAGAGATTAATCTGAAGAAGAAAAGAAGATTAAAACAAAAAAAGAGAGATATAAGAGCAAGGAAATTGTGGTTTCTCATTCATGCTGAAAATGTGCATAGATATGATAGTTATAATTCATGAACTACAACCCACGATACAAACAATTGTTATTTTAGTAACTACTATTCCTTTAATTGACTAATCATTGGCTTGACAGCTTGCACCAAATAACACTATTTTCAACTCTTTGATATCATCTTTCTTGCCAATTTCCTTTAGACCCTTACTAGTATCCTTGTCAATTTTAAAGTTCCTTCTAAACCCCACATTATCGTCATTGTTGACCAAGTTGTCATTCTTGTTGACTTTATCATCCTTGTCAACTTCTAACTTTATCACACTATCTTCCCCTTAATAGCATCCTTGTCTTTGAGGATTAAAAAGTGGAAATTGAGATTTAAAGACTGAGACTTCTTATGTAGCATTCTCTAGACCTAGATTAGATCACTCCACCAATAGTTGAGTGACTACTTTATTATTTCCCTTCACCATTCGCTTATCAAACACAACAGTTAGATATACTAGTGGTTGACCATCCTTACCCTTTTCAAGAGGGGTTATACTAGGGACATCTTTAATGTCGACCTTTTTCTTCAAGAGGCTAAAATGAAAAATAAGATGCAGTTTTGAAAATTATGGTAACTATAACTTATAAACTACTTTTTCAATCCTTATAAATACAAGATAAGGATCATAATACCTTGATGAAAGCTTTAAATGTTTTTTTTTTTATGCAAGAAAGGTCTACTTGTAAAGCTATACTTTCAAATACATCGCATCCCTCACTTACGACTCTCTTTCAGTCTTGTTTTTACTAGTATAAAATTTGTTATGCAATGAGCTTCTCCTAACTGGTCAACCAGTAGTTTATTTAAATTTTCTCATTTTTTAAACAAGTCTTCCACAATGGATATTCTTGCTTCATCATTAACATTCCAAGAAAACCCATGAGGTGGATATCTATATACAGATTGGAAGTAACTCATTTTTATGGTAGTATGATAGCTAGTGCTATACCACCACTCAGCTAAAGGTAGCCATTGAATCTAATTTTTTCGGTTAAAAAAGCATATACACCTTAGGTATTGCTCAAGACATTGGTTCAACCTTTCAGACTAACTATTTAACTTTAGGTTATAGGTTATGCTGAACTGTAAAGAAATACATAATAGCTTCATCAATTCCTATCACACAGAACTAGTGAAAAACTTTTCCTTATTTGATATAATAGCCTTTGAAGGTCCATGAAGTTTATGAATTTGACTTAAGTATGCCTTAACCACATCCAATGTAGTGTAAGGATGAGAATGAGGTAAAAAATATGCATATTTGGTAATTTGTCAATGAGAACCATAATACAATTGAATTTTTGAGATTGAGGCAATCCTTCCATAAAGTCCATGGTGATCACTTCCCAAGTCTGTGTAAGAATTAGAATAGACTGTAGTAAGCCAAGAAAAGCAACATGCTCATTTTTATTCTCTTAACACATGTCACACTGTTGCACATAATCTTGCACTTACTTTATCATCTTAGGCCAATAAAAATAGAGTTTGAGTCTATAATAGGTTGCTTGGATTCCTAAATGACATCCCTAAGGTGAATCATGAAATAGTTACAATACTTGAGTTCTCAGCAAACCTTAATTTTCAAGATAAACCCTGACTTTGTACTTAAGTACTTCATTATTGAAAGAGTAGTCAAGATCACTTACAGGATTTATAGTAAAAGCTACGATCTTTTTTCGAGCAGTTGTATCTCTTTTATAACTTTGTTCCACTTCAATTACCCATTTAGGTATAAGAGTGGTTGAATGTAAAACGTGTAACCCTTTTTTTTTCATGTTACTTTGATAGAGCATCTGCCACTATATTTGTTTTACCCTTCTTGTATTAAATAGTGTAATTCAAACCCAATAATTTGGTAAGTCATTTCTTTTGAATAGTGGTAATCAACTTCTACTCTATGAGATATTTCAGGGCCTCATGATCAGTTTTGATAATGAATGATCTACCTTCAAGGTAATGTTTCCATTTAAAAATTACCATCAAAATAGCTAGATACTCATTCCCATAGATAGACAAGTCAGTGTGTCGAGGACCCAAGGCCTTGCTTAAGTAGGCAATATGCCTTCCTTCTTGTGACAAAACTACTCCTATTCCTAAAGAGCAAGCATTTATTTCTAAGTAGAAGGGTTTTGAAAAATTTGGTAGTGCAAGTACTGAGGCATTACTCATTACTTCTTTAAGTTGTTAAAATATTATTGTTGCTACACTTGACCAATGAAATCCATTTTTTTTTCAATATGTCTATCAATGGCTTACTTATCACTCCATATCTCCTAACAAATTTTTTGTAATAGCCAATTAGTCTAAGAAACCATCTTATAAATTTCAAACATTTAAAAAATGGCTAATTCATCATTGCTTCTACCTTGGCAAAATAGTTGTAACCCCTCTGAGATACTCAACCTATTTTTTACCAAAAAAATATTTACTTTTCTTGGCAAACAAGCAATGAAGTCTCAACACCTTAAAGACAAGTTTTAAGTGTAAGACATACTCCTCTATAGTAGTACTGTAAACCAATATACCATAAAAAACTACTAAAACTTTTTTAGATATTTAAAAAACATATTATTCATCAATGATTGGAAAGTGACAAGTGCGTTAGTAAGTCCAAATGGCATTCCCTTGAACTTATAATGTCTATGATGAGTCTTAAAGGTTATTTCAAGGATGTCTTTGGCTTAGGTTCTAATTTGCCAATATCTTTTTCATAAATCAACCTTAAAGAAGTACCTGGCACCCTTCAATTCATCTAATAGGTCTTCTATTATTGGAATTAGAAACTTGTCTTTAACTGTTATTACATTATGTTGCTTGTAGTTAATACATAGCCTCCATGTACCATTTTTTTTCCTTACCAATAAACAAGGTGAAACAAATAAGCTCTTGCTAGTTTGAATAATAGATGAAGACAACATTTCTAAAATTTGTTTTTACATTTTAGTTTTTTGGTGATGAGGAAACCTATATGGCCTTAAATTTACAAGTTGAGACCTTTCATTGAGGGGTATACTATGTTTATATGATCAAGCTAATTGTAGTCCTGTTGTTCCTTAAAGATGCTAGAATAAGTAGTAAGCAATTTTTGTAGCTCAAGAGGAATCTCTTTTTGCATACAATATACATTAATCATATAAAACTCTTTATTTATGTCTAGGTCCTTTCTAGCTATTTTTTGCAATATTTTACTAGTAATAAGCTTAATACTTGGTTGCTTTTTACTTCTTTTCAATGTCACTTGCTGACCCTCTTTTTGAAAAGTCATAGATAGCTCATTAAAATCAAATATCAAAAGACTATACATTTTCATTCAATTAACCCTTAGAATCATGTCACTACCCCTATTGGTAGTACTCTCAAATCATGTGAGAAAACATGTCCCTGTATTAACCGAGTTAATTGCTTACATCTGACATTGCTGTATAATCTTTCTCTATTAACTACTATTATAGCTAAAGGATTAGTTTGCTCTAACTCCACTCCCTATCGAGCCCATGTAGGAGTGACAAAACTATGAGTGCTGCCACATCGATGAGGATATAAAGTGGTTCCCCTTTTAACATTCCTTCAATTCTAAAATTGTTATGCCCAACATTAACTATAAGAGCATTGATGGAAATCTGTAAGTTTTTAGGACTTTCTCATTCTTCAACTCCTTCTGGTTCTCCATCACCATCTTGCAAGTTATCCTCTTCCTTATTGGATTCACCAACAGTAATGGTATTAAGTTATTTTATTCTATATACATGCCCTGGCATAAATTTCTTGCCACACTTAAAACATAAATTTTGTAGCCTTCTTTGCTTAATAAGTTGTTGTCTGTTTGGCATGTAATTGGCTAGAGGGTTTGGTTTTGGTTGAGTATGAATAAGCTTAGGATAAGGGCCAATATTAAAGGTAAGCATAAATTTGGTGGTTTATTTGTGTCTTTTGTTTTGAAATTCAAGTGATAGTTCATATAGTTTGGCTTGTCTATAGGCAGTAGTAAGGATTCTAGGTTCATTAGCCTTCACTTTTGGCTTGATATCATCCTTGAGTCCACTTATAAAGTTAACAAAGTACCCTTCAGTCAAGTATAGGTTATATTACAACATATAAGGTCTTAACTCTTCAAATCTTTCTTGATATTTATCTACAGTAGTCTTTTGGGTCAGCTTGTTAAATTCATCTTTTATGTCAAAACAGGTTTTGTCACAAAACCTTTCGCTCAAGTCATTAGTAAACTTTGACCATGTCACTTTTTTTTTTTTTTTTTTTGCATAAGATATCCATCAAACCACACTTTAGCCTTTCTTGCTAAATACATAACAGCAATCTCTAATTTCTAGTGATCAGAGATTAAAAATATGGCAAAATATTTTTTGTACTTATTAAGCCAACCCCTAGGGTTACTTCCATCATAGATCAATAACTCAATCTTAATGTATTTATAATAGTTGAAGTATTATTACCAGTAATGAAATCAGCATTTTTAGACTGTTAAGTATTAAATTAAAAGGTACTATCATTGATTTCATGTTGTTTACTTGCTAACTGTCTTACTCCACTAGGTTTATAAGCATATTTTCTATGATTATCTATTACTATAATTTCAACAAATGCCTTACCTTCTTTTTAAACTAAGAAATAGGAGCTGGTTGGCTATCGGTCATCCCTTCTAATTCGGGTTGAGTTTCAATTACTTTTCTTGGATCAATAATTCAAGCACTTGAGCTTATACGTTCCTGATTCTCAGCAAACTGGGACTCAATAAGCTTTTTTGTTCTTCACACCACCTTGGAACTGTTAAGTCTACAGTTGTTAGAGCCTTAAGCTACCCTTGCATCACTTGGAACTACTTGTAGAGCATCCAGTTTTGCTCCATCACCCATGGTTTACTGTTTCTTAGGTTTTCCCAAATTGAAGGTAGATCTAATAGGCTCTAATAACAATTTTGTAATAGAATGATGCTATTGAATCAACCAGAAAATAATGTAAAAAAGAGAAGAAAAAAATAGGTAAAAGAGAAAAGATTAAGATAGAAAAGAAAGAGATACGAAAGCAATGAAATTGTGATTTCTCATTCATGTTGAAAGTGCGCATATACATGACAATTATAATTCATGAATTATGACCCACAATACAAAAGGTTGTTATTTTAGTAACTACTATTCTTGTTACTGACTAATTTGACAACCAGCATCAGATAATGCAATTCCTAACTCTTTGCATCATTTTACTGATAGTTTCCTTTAACCTCTTACTACCCTTTACTAGTATCCTTGTCAATATTAAAGTTTCTTCTCAACCCCACATTGTCATCCTTGTTGACTACATTTTCATCAGCTTCTAACTTTATCACAATCATTTTGGAACTGATGATTTTAAATTGGAATATCTGATTTTTGATCAATTTATGGATTTTCATGTTTAAAATCATTTTATCATCTCCAATCTCAATCCAAAAGAAAAGAATGCTGAAACTTTTGTGTGTTTACAAAAATCTGGAAAGAGTTGAGGTAATCTATACAATCTTTAGAAAAAAAAAATCTTGTTGTTTGGTTGATAAAAGAAAAAAACTATAAAATAGTTTTGGATTGAGGGGAAGGGGAAAAAGTAAAACAGTGGAAGGTGAGGAAGGATATTTCGCGGAGAGGAAATCATATTAGAGACGAAAAACTTAATCATTCTACTAGATTTCATAAAATAAAAAATTTGCCATTCCTTCAAATTGTAGGACATTGGGAGATAATTTTCTTGTTGTTTTAATTGAAGAAAATTACACCCCTTACGCTCAATTAGATGCCAGTTGGTGTTTCTAAGAGTATAATGATCATAAATGATATGCTTTCGTACATTGTTATAAATTTATTTACTTATTGGGTAAGAAAAGAATGTTGACATATAAAAAAAAATTATGAATGTTGAGTGTTATCTGGAGCATAGGTTTCGTTATTTGTAGGGAAATTTCCAATTATTTGATTCATTACTTGAATTTGAGTCATATTGGTCAACTAGGATTTGGATACTTAACATTCAGTATGAAAATTTTTAGATAAAAACATGTGTGTGGGTAAACCTCAATTGAATGAAGCTCAATTTCTCTAGATAGTATGGCTGCTGCTGTAGACTATTGTTCATTCATTTGTCTTAGACAATACCTGTTTTTTCTTTTACAGTGATAGGGAGTGTTGCAATGAAAGACTACATTGAAGCTGGCACTATTGTCTTCTTCTTCACCTCTGCGGAATGGCTTGAGTCAAGAGCAAGCCATAAGGTAAATTCCCTCTCTCACAGCACTCAAAATGTACTAAATCCTAGTAATTTTGAACCTTTTAATTGTTAATAAAATGTCTAGGAGAAAAATATGCAAACAACTCTGGTCTAACACAAAAATTTTACACGTTTTGAATTGGTTTTTAAGTTGAAATTTTACGTCAGCCTTTTTTAGGGGGTCTACAGCCGTTATATGGCATAGGGGTTACATTCTGTATGAAACTTAATAGTATAACACTTCTACAAATAGCCCGTAATGCTGCATCTCTTCTGAGATCAGGATCTTTTATAACACTTATGCTTATTGCATTCCTTGGTCTACTACTGCTTGAATAGTATTTCCTGCTGCGATTCGACCTGCAAAAGGAGTCCTTTTTCTTGTACCACAAGTAGTGGCAGAGGGATAAGAAATTGCTCGACCCAATGCATATGTAACAGTGACAATGGTATTGTTGAAACTAGCTTGAATATGAATAACTCCTTTTGGTATTCCACGTGCACTTTTTTGGTTACCACTGCGCCCGTTCGGCCGTTCCTACCTGAACGTACTTTTGGCATAGGTTTCACCATTTTTATCACTTCACAAAGATAAGTCAGAGATATATGGACATATCTATTTCATGATTGTTTGCTTAGCTAGCTTGAAAAAACTTGATGGACTTGAAACATCTAATTAATGATTTCGTTTATATATGAAATGTTCAAACTTTTAAGCATGTTGTCTCAGGCTACTGCTGTTATGTCATCATTGATGGGTATAACTCCCCAAAAAGCAGTCATAGCTGATACTGGAGAAGAAGTGGATGCCGATGAAGTCAAATTGAACACTGTTCTTGCAGTTAGAGCTGGTGAAGTTATCCCCATTGATGGAATCGTTGTAGATGGGGAATGTGAAGTGGATGAGAAAAGCCTGACTGGTGAATCACTTCCAGTCACCAAAGAAAAGGATTCAACCGTTTGGGCTGGCACCATCAATCTAAATGGTAGCAACTCAGTTTCTTCTTCCTTTTGAATTCATACAGTTTTTGTGCTGACAGGCTTGTTCTCCTTCTAGGTTACATTAGTGTTAAAACTACTGCTGTAGCTGAAGATTGTGTAGTGTCTAAAATGGCAAAGCTGGTGGAGGAAGCTCAAAACAGCAAATCTGGAACCCAAAGATTCATAGACAAATGTGCCCAGTTCTACACCCCAGGTTAATTAATTTTGATCTAGATTTACGAGATTTCCTTTACCATCTTTGTACTTACAGTCTTTCGTTGCAAAGCAGCTTTTGCTTTTCTTGGATAAGTGTTAAAAGAATAATACTGAACTTATTTTTATCGGTAATTATTTGCAGTAATTATAGTTGTATCAGCTGCCATTGCTGTGATTCCAGCTGCATTTAGAGCACATAACCTTCACCACTGGTTTCACTTAGCATTGGTTGTCTTGGTGAGTGCATGTCCATGTGCACTTATCCTTTCTACGCCTGTTGCAAGTTTTTGTGCACTTACAAAAGCAGCAACATCAGGACTTCTAGTTAAGGGGGGTGACTATCTTGAAATTCTTTCCAAAATTAAGCTCACAGCATTTGATAAAACTGGTACACTTACCCGGGGTGAATTTGTTGTGACCGATTTTCGATCTCTCTCCGAAGATACAAACTTGAACACATTGATTTACTGGTATGATCTTGATACTTTCCCCTTCTCTTTATTATGAAAGTATCCAACTATTGTATTTATTTATTCCATCTTTTTTAAAATTATTCAAGTCACTTTGAATTTATAAAAGAGGCTCATTTATGTAGTGATAGAAGACATCGTGGTTCAATTAAATTTTCAATCACACCCAAATGATTCACTCTAACAACATTGGTGAGTTTCCAAAATTTTGCAGTTCAATAGATGTTAATATTAGTTACAATATTTTTAAAGGGTTTCAAGCATTGAGAGTAAGTCAAGTCATCCAATGGCAGCTGCACTTGTAGAATATGGAAGATCACATTTAATCGAACCAAGACCTGAAACTGTGGAGGATTTTCAAAATTTCCCCGGAGAAGGTATTTATGGGAGAATTGATGGCAGACATATTTACATTGGAAGCAGAAAAATTTCAGTGAGAGCCCATGGAACAGGTCAAAACTTTTGCCTCCTATAGCTTCAACTTCTTTAATGGACACCCCAGTGGTCAAGACTGTTAAGCGTTCTGCTTTCATGTTCTAATACTAGTATTTTTTTGGATAAATAGTTCCATATCTAGAAGACAATATGATGGAAGGGAAGACCATTGGATATGTATTTTCTGGAGCAACCGCTGCTGGGATCTTCAGTCTCTCAGATACTTGTCGAACTGGCGTAGCTGAGGCTGTCAATGAGCTAAAGTCAATGGGGATAAAAGCTGCTATGCTTACAGGAGACAATCAAGCGGCAGCCATACACGTACATGAACAGGTGCACTTCAAATCTAGAACTCATGATGTTGCAAATCTTTAACTTTTTGCCTTCATTTGTTAGGAGATGGCGGCTAAAAATAGTTTTGACATAATCCAAATAGTAATGATCACATGAGGAACTAGTTTCAAATCCTGAGTTGATAAGAAATATCAATTATATTACTTGCAGCTGGGGAATCTTCTAGATGTAGTCCATGCAGAACTTCTTCCTGAAGACAAGGCAAGAATAATCAAAGAGTTTAAGAAAGAAGGTCCAACGGCAATGATTGGAGATGGCGTCAATGATGCACCTGCACTTGCCACAGCTGATATTGGTATCTCAATGGGTATTTCTGGTTCAGCACTTGCAACTGAGACAGGGCATGTGATTCTCATGTCAAATGATATTAGAAAGATACCAAAAGCTATCCAACTCGCGAGAAAGGCTCATAGGAAAGTAATTGAAAATGTCATTTTGTCAATCAGTACTAAGGTCGCTATTCTTGCTTTGGCCTTCGCTGGTCATCCACTTGTGTGGGCGGCAGTTCTTGCTGATGTTGGCACATGCTTGTTGGTAATCTGTAATAGCATGCTGCTTTTGCAAGGAACACACAAACATGGAGGAAAGTGTGGCAAATCATCAGCTGCATCTCATACAGATAAACAAGGATGCAAAACCAGTCATAACCATCAACATGCAAGTACAGACAAAAAGGTCCAAAGGGCATGTGAGCCCCAACAATGTTTGTCCAGGACGTGTGCCTCAAAATGTCAATCTGGCCCTTTCAATCCAGACTCAGGAAGGACACACGATGTCTCTGTTAATCATGAAGCAAAGCACTGCGACCAGGGAAGCTGTAACCTGGTCAATCAGAAGATTGACACCGACAATTTGCCCGGCATGTTTTGTTCAGGCCATCGTAGGTTAGGCTTGGGCACAGAACCTAAAGATCTCCATGGGGCAAACCACTGCCACCAGGGGCATTCACGTCATTCATCTAGTCCAGATGAAGAAGACCAAATAGAGACAAAAAATGACCGTTGTCTTTCCATTCATTGTGATGAGAACCATGTCAAGAACCATACTAACCTTAAAGCTTTAGGAAACTTGGTAGAGCATAATTTTTTGGAGAGCCTAAATCCAAAGGCTCATCCTAGTTCACACAAGTGCTGTAAAGACTATAGTGAGCCACCTCACACTGCCATAGACATTCCAATGAATTTTGACCAAGAGGCTATGCCTAGTTGTACGAGTCTGGGGAAGAGAGAACTTGGTGGTTGTTGTAAGAGCTATGTGAAAGAATGTTGTGGTAAACATGGACATTTTAAACCTGCCTTTGGAGGAGGTTTAACAGAAATGGTTACTGAATAGAAATTTTCAACTTTCATAGAAACTGTGATCTTCAGATGTTTGGGGTTCTAGAATAAAGGATTGAGGAAATTGTGACTCAGTGTATGAATCAAATTAAGAATTGTTGAAAGAAATGAAATTATCACTGGTATTTATAAGTAAGAATGTTTTTTGTGTTTGAATGTGTTAAAATTATCACTGGTATTTTATGAGTTAAGAATGTTTTTTGTGTTTGAATGTGTTAACTGTTCCATTGATCATTATGTGAGATCGCCTTGTCTCACTTATAAATTTAAGTTCTACGATATTACAGCAGAAAATCAGTTAGCCCTGTCCTCAGCTTCTGTCGAATATGTAGAAAGAACTTCTAGAAGCGGCCTGTAGAGTGAACGTACAAGATAAAAGCTCAGTAACCCCTTGCTGCTTAATAAAAAAAATAATGTTAAGTAGTGGTAGAAGATCTATCACCAGGCAGATCAGTGTAACTGACTATGTTTCTTCAAAAACAAATCACAGCGCCAGAAAGTGTTTAAAACTAGCCCAATGAATGAGATTTGGAGCATGCCTATGACATGAGAAATGACTAGTCCAGTGAATGGTGATGGATAGATATTTTAATGATTCAACTAGCTTCCTCTATGCAGTAGCAATAGCTAAAGCAAAACCATCTTTAAGCTGCAGTTTCCTGCTTGTTGCCATCGGATTGATGGCATTGCTTATATCAAATTTCTCCATAACATCTCGGATGTATTTATGTTGGGACACAAACATTCTTTGTTTAGTATAGTTAAGTTCCACGCCTACGAAAAAATTGTAAGAACGAATATTCTTTCAAAGAAAATCTCTAACGAACTGCTGTAGAAAATCATGTGTTGCTGAACTTTTGTTTCTTGTAACGAAAAAATCAACCGCATAGGCTACGAAATATATTAGAATAGAGTCTTTTGTAAATGTAAATGGGAAGAATTTTTCGTCGTATAAAACATTAAAAAAATATATTAGGCAATGAATGTTAAAAGTTACCGTAAATATATTAGGATTTCCGTAAGAATTTCATTAGGTATTTGTAATGACAAATGCCGTTGTTTAAAACATTAAAAAATCAATTTATAATCAACAATTATTATTTTTTAAGCAACTTTTATTTTATTTAGTTCTAACTACAAAAACATTTTTTTCAGTTATTAATAGTGCTTGTAAATTTTTTTTACAAATCTAATTATACTCCTATTACATATTTTCTCAATAGTTTTTTATTTTATCTCTAATATCATTAGTTTTCTATTATAATTATTTTTTATGTTATGAATTTTTAATATTCAAAATTTCTTTTTAGAAATATATATCCAAATAATTTAATTATTGTCATAATGTATAGATCCGTAGATTTACCGCTAGATATAAATTAAAAGAATCATCACCAATATTTTTTGTTAAGGTGCGATTGACCACCTGATAGAATCTGTCCTATTTAAATAAGAGTCCTAAGATTTGCTTAGATATCTTTGAATAGTAGATTTTGATCTAAGAAACCAGAGTTTAAGTTCGAAAATAGAGTTACGTGTAAGGAAGGTTATAGCACCCTCACAATGTCCATCCCAAAAATGATACCAGTTTAATTTCAAATTATCCAAGCCTTAAAAATATTTATGTTTCACCAAAATATTTACTATTGAAAATTAATCTTAAAATTATCCTAATAGTTTGGCAGCAATTTAAGATAATTATCTCACCTCAGAAGTATTCATAAATACTAGTATCATACTCTTAAAAAGCTTCGTCATTGTCGGATTTATTAAAGTTTTTTATTCTAAAAAAATAGTAAAGCCTTTCAATAGTTTAATAGGACTTAATTTGAAGTAATTCTTTAATAATTTAGAAGATAAAAATTTTATTTATTATTATTATTTATTTTTTAAAAAAATAATTTATAAAATTTTTTAATAGTTTAGTAGATTCCATAAACCTATTTGAAAAGATTTTTCACAATTTTTTTTATATTTTTTATTGATAGGATTTTTTTGTTTTTATAAAAAAAAATTTAGGGCTTAAAAAGACCTTTGTTTTATTTTGAAAACTTATTTGAAAAGATTTTTATTTCATTTTTTTTGTTTACGTTTTTCCATAAAGAAAAGACACCTTTTTTTTTAATAAAGATTAAATTACTAAACAAAATAAATAGATAAAAACCAGTAAAATAAAATAGAAAAAAATTGAAAATAAAGCAAAACTTAAAATATGAAAATAAATAAAATCAAAAAAGAAAAGAAAAATAAAAAAAGGAAACATTGTAATCAGGTCGAGTCTACGCGATGGTGGGCACGCGGGTCTACGAGTTACACGTTGGTTAGAGGTTGTCAAAATGATGTCGTGCCGAGTTTGTGTAAAAGCCAAACTTTGCGTTTGTCACTCAGAAGCTTCCTACCTTTACTCTTTCTAAACCCAATTCTCTCTGACCTCTCTCTAAGATCCTCGAGAACATTCAACCGAAAATTGGGTTTGGTTGTTGGTTTCTGGAAATTTTGCTGAAATTCCATCAAAAACTTCAACCTTTGCTAGAAAATTTAATCAAAAAATTTATATGTTCATTGTGTTTATCCTAAAAACCCAAATTTCCAAAAAAAAAAAATTTCATATTTTCTCAAGTTTATCCAGATCACTTTAGAAAACCCTAAAAGCTTGAATCTAACCCCAAAAACCTAGATCCACACCCAAGAACTTTTAAATCGAGCCCCAAAAATCTGAACCCAAAAATCCCAAAATCCCAGAATTCCAAAAACTCAACAATGGGTCATTCCACCTAAAATCAATCTTCCCTTGTTATGTGTAACATTGTCCAATTTATAAGCAGTCCATAGTAGCCGTTTAGGGATCGAACAAAATCTAAACCTAGGATTTCAGCTTGGATTGGTTTTGTCCGAGCATGATTCTTGGCAACATTTTTGTTGATCAATCTGGGTGTATCCAAAAATCACCTTTGACTATATTGATTAAATCACTTCGATTCAAAGAAATCAATTTTCAATTACTAATCGATCAACAGTTAAAAGGAAGAAATAAAGAAAATAATAATAATAATAATAATAATAATAATAATAATAATAGCAATAATATTGTATATTATACTAATAACAATAATAATAGTAAAAATAATAATATAATACTATAATAGAACAAAAATAATAAAAACGGTTTGATTAATTCCGGACATACATGAGTGTCTACAATTATAAATATTAGTAGTTTGAATTGATGCATTTAAATTTGCTTTCATTATGAAATTTTTCAAAATTTTAAAATTTTTGTCCTTAGAATTTCATATTCAAATCTTGGAAGCAGATGCGTCTGAATATGAGATTGGAGAGATCAGCTACGTTACTCTAATCAGCTCATAATTTACCCAAAATGAAATAATTGTTTTCACCTTTCACAGTATGCAAATAACTATCTACAATCATATATGCAATAAGCTTTTTTTTTTTTTTTTATGTTAGATGTCAAATTTCTGTTAAGCAATAGTATTTAAAAGTTCATCCATAACTGAAAACTTTTATCAAATCAAAAACCAATTTGCTCAAATATGCGGTGATTACTGATTAGTAGTCAACTGGGAGAAACATTTATTTATATGATTTGATTGATTAACACATAAAATGGAAGAATATTAATCATAAGAAAATGACAGAATAATATTAGTATTAATAATCTAATCAATTCAATTAGCACGTCGAAAACTATTTCCCAGCTTTGGTTTAACAGGCAGAAACGGTGATGCACGTTATTGCTTTTCATATATCTTTTGCTTTCGTTGGAATCGATTCTCTTTTATTAGTGGGAATTAATTTGGTTAACTATTTTTTGTTGAATAATGCATTCAGAAGCTCTATACTGCAAAAATTTATAGAATTTTTTTCTTTTTTTTTTTTTTTGTTTTGAAAGGATTCTTCGTTTAAATTTTGGCAGCTGGCCTGGAGATTGGGGAGTGAAATATGCTATATATTTATTTAAGAAATGATCATCTGGGACATCTTTGAGGGTATAAATTAATTCGTAACAGTAATACCAAGGAGAATTGATGCATGGCATGGATTTCTTCCATGGAGATTCTATAAACCATGAAATTTGGGAGATGAGGGTGGTTGCCGCTCTACATATAACATTATGAAATTAATTTATATTAGGGTGATTTTAAAAACTTATATATTATTAATAAAAAATCTCTCCTTGAAATTTTAAAATGACAGATTCGAAGACAAAATTTTGAAATTTTGCTAGAATAAAATTTACTTTATTATTGGTATCAGAAAATAATTAATTAAATATGAGAAGGCGTAAAAGCCATAACAAAATTTTTCCTTACCAGATTATATTCGGGGTTCTATAATGCAGCAATTTCTGCCGATCAATATGATGAGCTAAAGTATCCCATTTGACTCATTGATCAAATAATAATAAATTAAAGGAGAGTGAATTGAACACATACTTTGTGCTTCTGGCTTTCTCAGGAGGAAGGGTTTGGATGTTATGCGATTGTGGACGATTATAAAGAATTTTTTTTTTTTTACAATGGAGATAGTAGTCTAAAGATAAAAATATTTTTTTTTTATATGTTGAGATTTAAATTTTGATTTTTTAAAAATAATTATATAAATTAATTAAATTAACCTTTAATTTTTTTATTTTTTTTTTTGAAATTTTTTACATCCAGTAATCACTTTGAATTCCGATTAATTCAGAGTCAAGTGGAATCAGATCTCATAAAAGGAACAAGCTTTCTCAAACTTATTTTTTTCATTAATAATACTCAAAATCAACATTTTATTTAAGAAAAATCAAACTTTATATTACTCAAAACATTGATTTTAAATTTTATTATGGATGGTTAGTAAGTATTCTCTTTGGCATTCGCTTTCAACACCTATTTAAATAGCTTTAGGTCCCAGGCGGATGGAAAGCATGATAAGGGGTCAAAGTCCCCATGATTTTTGAAAATTTCCCTTTATTCGTATATGAATCTGTCTATTGTATTAAATAAATTTAAATTGAAACTCTTTTTTTAATTTAGATTTTTAAATTAAGAG